TTTTTTTTTTCTCTCTCTCAGTTTCTGTCACAGAATTTCATCGCATGGAGGATACCAGCAGTCATGTATGTAGGCTGGTTTGTATTTCATGTTTTCATTGCTATGGAATAAACTATCTTCCAGGTATAGTGTAAGACAGACACTTAAGTATGCAGTGGTGAGGGGGACGTTGTGCTGACCGAGGAGAAGCAGGTAGACAATGAGTCTCAGCCCGAGACCCTGTGCCTTTCTCCCCGAGCCTCTGCCTTTATTGGAGATTGTGCTCCTTCTAGTGTCTGCGGCCTGGGTATGGCTGATTAAACATCTGTCTGATTAAACATCTGTATGCATTGATGCATCAGCGTTGGTCCTACAGCATCAAAGTTCTGTGTACATCTCAAGCATATCATGGAAATGGATTCTGAGTCCCAACTCAGTTCTTCAAGTTTAACATGTGCCCCACCTAAATGTATTACATTTGATTATTGATATTTAAAAACCTGCACTAAATTTGACTGACCTCAGTATGTGAATTTATAAGTATTTGGAGTTTGTTCAGTTATTTTTTCACAGAACACATAAATATTCTCATATATACAAATACTTTTATACTCCCACATAGACAGGAACCTCAAAGCAAAGTTGTGATCTAAATAGACCACACGTATATATGCATATATGCAAGAAAGGCCCGACGAAATGCCAGGTGATGCATAGGTGTGCAAGTGAATAGCTTCAAGTAGTAGCAAATAGTGCATCATGTGAAAGACAGAAGATTTCTATAGGCAGAGCTGATATAGCTTTATACAGAAGGGTGTGTAAGAATGAAAGCTCCTGAGTCAGACTTGGGAGATTTGGGTTACACTTAACACAGTATGTTGTTAGCTCTTTTGAGTGTATCACTTTCCGTCTTCACCCTATGCTGTTTTAACTTATTTTATCCAGAAAATAATAATTATTGATTATAAGTACAATGGCAATTGGGGGGCACATACCTAGATATTTTTCTAAGGATATCTTTTTTAAATAAAACTTTAAATCTTTTCAGTATCTCCTACAATTGCTGGTGTAGAGAGCGATGGCAGCCCTGAAGATGTCATTGTCATCCTTAACAGCCCCACTTCTTTAGTGTGTGAGGCATATTCCTATCCACCAGCTACCATCACCTGGTTCAAGGATGGAGCGCCTTTAGAATCCAACCGAAATATTCGGATTCCTCCAGGTAATTAGCTGACTTCAGCTAGCCATGGTTCATTTGTATCATCTACTGCTGTAGAAGAGCATGGGTTATTTTTTCATAAAAGTGCCTGTGTCTTTGTTCTGTGACAGTCTATTTCTATCTTACTATCTATGCTTTATATATAGTATAAATATGTACTATATATTTTATATATTTAATATATATATTAAATATATACTATATATAATATATAAATATATACTATATATTTAATATATATTAAAATTTAAAATACTCAAGCATTACTTTTTGAAAACAAACCCAAGTAAAGAAATGTTACAGTGTCAGAATTGCTAAAATATGTTATAATGTCAAATGTTACAAAGGATAGAAACTCATTTTTGATTGAATTTAGCCTTGAAAGAGTTAATATGTAGACTGAGTTTATTCTTCTTTAATATAATGTGTGTGAGGACAGAAAGAAATAAAAACCATAATCAACAGCTGTGAGACATTTAATCTGATGTGGAAGAGAGATAGAACAGAGATAATGGGGAAGACTTATTATCAATATGCACTTAAAACAACTATGCAGCCAGTTCTCATGAGACCAAATAGGCTAGGGTCAGAGGGGAGGGGAGGAGGACCTCCCCTATCAGTGGACTTGGGGATGGGCATGGAAGGAGATGAGAGACGGAAGGTAGGATTAGGAGGGAAGTAGGAAGGGGGCTACAGGTGGGATACAAAGTGAATAAACTGTAATTAATAAAAAATAAATTAATTAAAAACAAAATAAAAAATAAATGGAGAGGGGTTGTTAAAGGGGGGTAGTGACAAGTTTTATAAAAACTCAGAAGATAAAGTTGCTATTGTGAACCTTAATGGTCAGGAAAAAAAATTTCTCCCTAACCACAATGTTGGCCAGATTTGACAGGAAGTAGGAGAATTTAGTTGACTGATGATAAGCTGGGAGAGGTTTTGGATCCATCAGGATGACTAGAGGACAAAGGGCAGCAAGCAGGAATGGGATGGCCACATGCAGTCACCATGTAAGGGGAAACATTATGGAGAGAAAAAAGTCAGGAAGAAAAGCTGGCTATTGTTTTGAAGCCTGTATCAGTTTACGTTCAGACACTAAACAGTTGAGAACTATTGACAACTTTTATTTTAAAAATTCACTTTATTTATGTGTTTGTGTCTTGGATGTCATGCATGTACATGTGTGTGGGTTCCTATAGAATCTATGGATTCCCTCAAACTGCCGTTATAGGCAGTTGTGAGCCACCCAACATGGGTGCTGGGTCCTTCGGGAAAGCAGCAAGTGTTCTTAACCACTCAGCCATATCTCCAACCCCAGTTTTAGAGAGAAAGATAACCATATTCAAAACTGTATTTTGGTCAAATCAATTTTCTGTGATAGACCAAGTTGATGAGAGAAAGACAATAACAGAGGTGAGACCCTTCTTATGAAATGTATGAAACAAAGAAAGCTGAGCCTTACTTTCCCATGCTAACAACTGCTAATTGCTCATGGCTAGGGGTGAGACTGTATGTCCAACTACCCCTCTCTGCTGACACTTGGTCTGGCTTGGACCTGCACAGGTTTTGTTCCTGGTAAGTCACACAGTCTAGTTGGAATAACACCCCCCCAAACTATTTTGGTTAGCACAAATTTGTCTTGAACGTTGGGGGCTCGGAAGTGTTGGGTTTTGTTTTATTTATTTACTTATTTTAAGAATACAAAATTAGGTGCAAAGGAAAGGTCTATGGATCTAGGGGGAGGAGTTGTGGAGGAGTTGAATATGATCAGAACTCATTACACAAAACTAGAAATGCCCAAAGAACTAATTGAAAAGTGTGAAAAAAAAAAGTCATTGTCTCGAGTGATGTACAGAGGCATAGAAGTGTCAGAGATGGAAAATGTGAGAGCCACGGCTACACAGAGGACAGTGGGGAACATAGAGACCATCTCAGCTACAATGTAGATCCTGTGTGCATTGTAGCATGTTTTATATCAAATACCTACCAGTAAATTGTAGTCATAAGAAGCAACGCTTACAGTAAGAACTAAAGTCCTAGTACTTTGTGCATTCCCTACTTACACTACGATGTCAAAGCTTCCTTAATGTTCCTTGATGTTTTAGGAGGCCGTACTCTGCAGATCCTAAATGCGCAGGAAGACAATGCTGGCAGGTACTCATGTGTGGCCACCAATGAGGCTGGGGAAATGATAAAGCACTATGAAGTGAAGGTCTACAGTAAGTGCCAGAAGAACGCTTTTTCTCACCTCTTCCTGAAGATTTCTAGTTTTTTAAATCACATTTTCCATTATTCTTTCCTGCTTGTTTATACTGATCATTGAAGACTCTTAGTTATGCAGCTTGCCTCATCAAGGATGGAGGTTGCATTAAGTATTTTGCCCATGGCCTCAGCTGCTCAAAGATGTGAAGACCCAGGGCTAATGAGATGTGATGGGTCAGTGACTGACGTGTTTCTTGTGCAAGCAGGAGGACCAGTGTTTAAAGAGCCCAGAACCCAAGTAAATGTAAAATGGGTATAAAGGCCTGACTTCAGGCCCAGTGCCAGAGAGGCAGACAGGAAATGCTCAGAAAAAAAACAGCTAGGTACTCTAATCAGAACAATATGATCTGGATCCAGCAAGACACCATGAATCAGTATCTAAGGTAGGGGACAGTTGAAGAAGCCATGTGGCATCGTTCGGACCTACAAATGCATACATGGGCACATGTTCCCACAGACACACCATCTCATACACACACACACACACCATCACACCATCACACTTCATACCATCACACATACACGTGAAAAAACCATTCACTGGACGCACTCACTACCTACCTGTTGGAGTGTGGTTTACAGGCAGGTCCCTAGAGCTCAAGATGAGATCAACAGTAGTTTTGGATTACCACAAGGTAAACAACCTATAAGCAAAAGGCAAAGCTCACACTGTCATTAGTAGGGGCCACTGCTAATGGCCTTAACGGTTCAACAGTCTTTATTCATAGATTATTGCTGTTATCTTATAAATAAATTCTGTATTTCTGACTGTCATTTTTACTTTGATTTGGTGCCATAACAACCAGTGTAATGTATTTTTATGGGTTACTGTTGGACTATATGGATCTAGAACAGATAAAAATGAGAAGGACATTGACCTCTCTAGCAACTTTATAATGATGAACAGATAAGTATATTTTTCTGCATATTTTATGTCGGGAAATTCCTTTTTCCTGGATACCAACTGAGGTCCTTCATGGAAGGTCTGGGAGAAAGGGCCTGCATCTCCTGAGGACCTTGTTAGCTGCTCCTCATTGTGATTTCTGTGGCAGACTGTGTGTTTAAAGCAACCAGTGTTTAACTCTTTTATCTTCTTTTTCTGCAGTTCCACCCATAATCAAGAAAGGGGACCTTTTGGGGCCAGGTCTTTTCCCTAAAGAAGTGAAGATTAGGGTGAACAGCAGCCTGACCCTGGAGTGTGAAGCTTATGCGATTCCTTCTGCCTCCCTCCGCTGGTACAAGGATGGACAGGCCAGTCACAACTACATTTTGTTTGTTGATTAGTTCTTAAAGATTAAAATACTAATTTAAAAAGAAACAGACAGGTGATTTCAGAGATTGATTCCACCCACTGTGATACTAAAAGTAGCCACTCCATGCTCCTGGAATCTGGCATTACTTAAGAAAATAAACAAAGTGAAGAAATGCCCATGATCAGTAACTTTGCTATTGTTCCACCACCAGGAGATAAACACGATTTGATTTGTGCACATTAGCACTTGGCTGTGAAAAATCTAGCTACCCTCCCACTGGAGAGTTAGAGGAACCATGTTTCACCCAAATACCTACCTATAATTGAGAAGGATTCTATGAATGGTCCTAAAATGAGGACTAAATTTATTCACAACTTTCTCTAAACATCATTAACAAAAAGATAACATTTTTGATATCCTAAAATATGATAAAATTGAAAGATATAAAGGCACCTGTGATTACCTTAGAGCAGTCAGAAATGCCAAACCAAAACTCAATTTAAGAATGAAAGGGCAGACATGGGAGGGTTTGGAGCTGCTAATGGGAAAGGGAGATAAGAAGTTTATGATAAAGCTTTCAGACCACACCTCCTACTCCTCGCTGGATTCCTGTTCTTTCCCACATGCTGTAAGGACACGGACACGTGTGCTAGTGCTCGAGGGCAAAAAAGATGTGTGGTTGCTATTAACAGCACTAAATGCAGAGGGAAAACGGCTCAGCTGCTCTTTATGCAGTTTTACACATGAACATCCAAACGGTCAGTTAAATTCCAGTGCTGGAAGTTTCAGTCATAGCATGACTTAAGAGGCAAGAAAGATGTGGGTTTGTGCTTTTCTTTCAGGTCCCAGATGGATTCTGCCATATCAGCAGTGGGGGTAGGGGAAATCTTTTCATATAAAATGAGTACATATCATCTGGAAGCCATCGCAAAACAAAAGTACAGAGCTCCTATGCTCTGCTTCTGTTGGCCTTTCAAAGTTCAGGCACACAGTGTGATGAGTTATCAATTCTGTAAGAACTGGCTGGTAAACAAATTAGTTTCCTGTCCTTTGTAACTATATCATGTTTTGAAGTCTTTTGAAAATATATCCATATTTTCAATAAATAATTTTTCCATATCATTTTCTAGTTATTTCTTTTTTAAATACCAAAATTTAATGAAGTAGTATTTTTTTAGAAAAGCTACCAAAAGATATTGACACTATCAGCTACAATAACTTTTAACATAATTTATACATTTTATTTATCCATGCCCTGAAATTTTTTATTTTGATACAGGAAGTTTAAACTGTGGCATGTTTATTTGTGATGTAATAATAATGGTTTGTTGTATCTCAGATTATTTGAATCTCAACTCACTGCTAGGCAATATTTTATGTACAACAAATATAGATGTGAAACAGGCCAAAATCTCTGCCCACATAAGTTTTCAGAGCAAAAAAAAAAATAACAAAAAAAAAAGCAAAAAAAAAAAAAAGAGCAAACAAACAAAACAAAACAAAACAAAAAACTAAACTAAGAATTAAGTCAGCTAAACAGAATGTGGCTGGTCAGAGAGTACACACATAGCTCAGCTCACAACTGCGTATAACTACAAACTAGGATAATCTTATGGCTCCTTCTAACCTCTACCTACACCTGCACTCTGTACACACACACACACACACACACACACACACACACACACACACACGACAGGAGACACATGTAGTGTATGTCTACCTTTGCCAGTAGAGGAACAAGGACTGTAGTGTCTCAAAAGATAAAAGAGGGGGAAGCTATTTCAAGATGGGGACAAGTTACACTGGGTCAAATCTTCTTCACCGAGAAGAGAAGACAGATGTTAAGTGCAGTCACATGAATGTCCTAGGTGACCTTGACTGTCTTTCTTACCAAGTAGAGAAGACGCAGATTTGATTGAATCAGATCAAGGAAAGATAGGAGGACAAAATTAGACACCATACACACAGAAAACATTTCTGAATGGTTGACTGTAATGGCCCCAGAGGATGTGGAGAACAACTCCCGTAAGACTGAAATTTTCTAGAGAGATGAAATAAATAGATGATGGCATAGGTAAGACAGGAAATGAAGAGCTGAGAGAGCATGGCTTTGATTGACAGTAGACACTGAAATACTAAGAATTGGGAAAGGATACTTCATCAGAAGGAATGCCACTGAGTCAGGAATAAAATCTTCAAATAATGAAGGAAGACAGATAATGCCCAATTCAACTTAGTATCATAACATTGCCCTAGCTTAAAACAGTTTATGTATGAAGTACGGATGTTCTCAATGAATAATAGTAATTCTAAATAAAATCATATTGTGATAATGTTTTCAACTTTTAATAAAAGTTTTCTTTTAAGAAAGTTTCTATTAAACTATCAGCAAAGTAGTTTTCAATACTTGATAAGATTAGCTGGAAACTCTTTTGCTTACATAGATAAATGGACATGATGGTAAGAATATGCTTTCTGCTCTAAAGAATATCTGACTGTATCTCCCGCAGTTACCTGGCTAATGTGAACTGTATTAATTTTCAGGAGATAGAAAGCTGTGTTACTTAGAAAATAATGTGATCAAGTTGAATTACTTACTACTACTATCTTGAATATTTGACATATCTCCATTTATCAAAGAATCATGTCAGTCATTTGCAGAGTATCTTAGCTTTATTAGCATACTTGATGCTGACATTATTCTAATTGAATCACAGCCCCTTGAATCAGATGATCATGTTAACATCGCCGCAAATGGGCATACTCTTCAAATAAAGGAAGCTCAAATATCAGACACTGGACGGTACACTTGTGTTGCATCTAACCTTGCAGGTGAAGACGAGTTGGATTTTGATGTGAATATCCAAGGTAATACAACTATGCTTATTGCAGAACAGTTTCCATGCTTTGTTAATGAAATGGAAAAGACATTTGACTTGGGGTTTTTTTTTTTTTTTTTGCTTTTTTTATTAATTAATTCTATTTAAACCTCGGTCATAGACCCCTCCCTCCTCTCCTCCAGGTCCCACCCTCCCACATCCCCTCTCCCCTCTTTCTCAGAATAGGGAAGCCCCCCTACCCGGACACTCCAGTTCATCTATTCACATGATGACTGAGTTCTTCTTCTTCCCCTGTGGCCTGATAGGGAGGTCCCATCAGGAAGAAGTGATCAGAAAGCAGGCAACATAGTCCATGTCAGAGATATCCCCCACACCCTAACTAGTGGGCCCACACAAAACCCAAGATGCCATCGGTCTGTGAATTGTAGTATGTCTATCTTGTATTATATGACTAAAATCTGCTTATGAGTAGGTATATACCATGTGTGTCTTTCTGCTTCTGGGATACCGCACTCAGAATGATCTTTTCTAGATCCCACCATTTGCCTGCAGATTTCGTGATTTCCTTGTTTGTAATTGCTGGGTAGTATTCCATGTGTAAATGTACCACAGTTTTGTTTTGTTTTGTTTTTTTATCCATTATTTGGTTAAGGGACATCTATATTGTTTCCTGCTTCTGGCTATTACAAATAAAGCTGCTATGAACATGGTTGTGCAAATGTCCTTGTATGGTAGAGTATCTTTCCAGGGGTGGCATAGCTGGATCTTAAGGTAACACTATTTCCAGTTTTCTGAGAAAACTCCAGATTGATTTCCAAAATGGTTGTACAAATTTGCGTTCCCACCAGCAATAGAAGAGTGTTTCCCTTTCTTCACATCCTTGCCAGCAGATGCTGTCACTTGAGGATCTTTTTTATGTTTTATTTTTTCATAATTTTTAATTTTTTATATTAATTACAGTTTATTCACTTTATATCCCAGCAGTAACCCTCCCTCAGTCCCTCCCAATTCCACCCTCCCTCCCTCATCTCCTCCCATGCCCCTCTCCAAGTTCATTGATAGGGGAGTTCCTTCTCCCCTTCCATCTGATCCTAGCCTATCAGGTCTCATCAGGACTGGCTGCATTGTCTTCCTCTGGTAAGGCTCCTCCCCCATTAGGAGGAAGTGAACAAGAGCTAGCCACTGAGTTTATGTCAGAGACAGCCCCTGTTCCCCTTACTAGGGAATCTCCTTGAAGACTAACCTTCCATGGGCTACATCTGTGCAGGGGTTGTAGGTTATCTCCATGAATAGTCCTTAGTTTGGAGTATCAGTCTCATAAAAGATCCCTGGGCCCAGATTTCTTGGTTCTGTTGCTCTCTTTCTGGAGTTCCTGTTCCCTCTAGGTCTTTCTATCTCCCCCTTCTTTCATAAGATTCCCTGTCCTCTGCCCAAAGTTTGGATACCAACAACATAGGCTCTAAGATCAACAATAAATAAATGGGACCTCATGAAACTGAAAAGCTTCTGTAAAGCAAAGGACACTGTCATCAGAACAAAATGACAGCCTACAGACTGGGAAAGGATCTTCACCAACCCTATATCTGACAAAGGGCCAATATCCAGAATATATAAAGAACTGAAGAAGTTAAAAAAAAAAACAAATCAAGTAATCCAATTAAAAAATGGGGTACAGAGCTAAACAGAGAATTCTCAATAGAGGAATATCAAATGGCAGAAAAATGCTTAAATGCTCAATGACCTTAATCATCAGGGAAATGCAAATCAAAACAACCCTGAGATTTCACCTTCCACCCATTAGAATGGCTAAGATCAAAAACTTAAGTGACAATACATGCTGGAGAGGATGTGGAGAAAAGGGAACCCTCCTCCATTGTTGGTGGGAATGTAAACTTGCACAATCATTTTGGAAATCAATCTTGCACTTTCTCAGATCTTGCTACCTCAAGATCCAGCTATACCACTCCTAGACATTTATCCAGAATATGCTCAAGTATACAACAAGGACATTTGCTCAACCATGTTTGTAGCAGCTTTATTTATAATAACCAAAACCTGGAAACAACCCAGATATCCCTCAACTGAGGAATGGATACAGAAATTGTGGTATACTTACACAATGGAATACTACTCAACAATTAAAAACAAGGAAATCATGAAATTTGCAGGCAAATAGTGGGAACTAGAAAAGATCATCCTGAGTGAGGTATCTCAGAAGCAGAAAGACACACATGGTATATACTCACTTATAAGTGGATATTAGACATATAATATAGGATAAACATACTAAAATCTGTACACCTAAAGAAGCTAATCAAGAAGAAGGACCCTGGGTAAGATGATCAATCCTCAGTCAGAAAGGTAAATGGTATAGACATAGGAAGAGGGAGAAAACAGAGAACAGGACAGGAGCCTACCGCAGAGGGCCTCTGAAAGTCTCTACCCAGCAAGGTATCAAAGCAGATGCTGAGGCTCATAGTCACTTGAATTTTTGATCTTAGCCATTCCATTCTGACAATTGGAGATGGAATCTCAGAATCATTTTTCTGATGACATTTGTATTATGACATTATGATTTGTATTTCTCTAAGGATATTGGATGCTTTTCCACCATTTGTGATTCTTCTGTTGAGAATTCTCTTTTTACCTCTATATCCCATGTTTTAATTAGATTATCTTGTTTGTTGGTGTTTAATTTCTTGAGTTCTTCATGTATTCTAGATATTAGCCCTTTGTCGGATGTAGGAACTTGGTTTATTTTAAAATCAATTTCTTCTAGTAATAAGAGTTCATTATGAAATCTTAAACAAAAAAACCATAGAAGAGAATAATCTCATCATCCTTTTTATGTATTTATTTTTATTTAATGTATATGAGTGTTTGCCTATATGTATGTATGTATGTATGTGCACGACATGTTTGCCCGGTGCTTATGGAATCCCACAGAACTGGAACCACAGAGAGTTGGGAGTCCCCATATAGTGTCTGGGAACTAAATCTTGATCTCCTACCAGAGCAATGAATACTCTTACCCCCTCATTCTTATTTTTATGCATTTCCTTCTGGTATTTTAAAGAACTACTTCATTTACAAAATTAAATGACAGACTTCTTTTACGTTAGCATTGTACTAACACTGTATGATGCAGGTTATATATCCTATAACGTTATTGCATAGAAAACAATAAAAGCAATGATAATGGAATTCAGAGTAGACACAGTTTTAGATGGATGAGTACACCTATAACCTTTGTGTCTTCGACAACTAACCAAAATATTTTAAGTCTTTGTTATTTTCCTTTAAAATAAATATCTCTTGGAATTGCTAAGAACAATTGCTAAGTTCTTCCTCAAGTGATTAAGAGCTAATTAAGAGCTCCGGTTGTTGGCATTGTTTTTCTGGATGTTAGCACTATCCAGCAGAATGGTCTTGGCCAGTGTTGGGGATTGAGTCTCGGACCTCATGTGTGCCAAGTAAACTCTCTGTGAGCCATACTCCAGCCCTCAACATAACTTTTAAGAACATTGCCTATTTCGTCAGTTGTACACTCAAATATTAGTTTAACCAAACTCCTATGATTAAGTATCTAGGTTGTCTTGAAGTTTTCAGTACTTATAATAGCACTATACTTAACATTTGGGTACACAAAATTTTCACATATCTTTGATAGGTGTCTAAAACTTGAAAATTCAGGTCAAACTTCACACACTTTTGAAATGACTTTAACACAAGGCAATTTGTCTCTGATAAACCTTACACTCACTATCAGTGAGGACTGAGACTGTCCTAGATTTAATAGTCTAGTCCCGACTGTTTATCTTAGTTAGCTTCCTTAGTAAGAGAAATCGTTGATAGTGTCAAGTGAGCCCATATATCCTTTTGGGTGTGCCCAGAATTAGCTTTTCCTGCAGCAGTCCCAGTGCTTACATCATTCCTCCTCGCACATGAACATTTCTGTTGCTCAATAGCAGAGCCTTTGTATATGAAAAGCAAAGACAGAGATGTCCCCACCCTCAGTGTCTCTCTTCTTTACAGGCCTTCTGTCCTCCTGCCCTTGCTCTCCTCGGGTCTGATCTCCACCTTCTTAACTTTCTGTGTCCCCTCTCCTACCTTATTCTCTCTCTTCAGCCATTCCCTCTGTCTATTCTGTCTCCCCTTCTGAGTGAGAGTTATGTATCCTCCCTTGGATCCTCTATGCTACTTATTTTGAGTCTGTGCCTCATAGTATGCTTATCTTGTACTATATAGCTAAAATCCGCTTATAAGTGAGTACATACCATGTGCGTCTTTTTGGGTCTGGGTTCCTTACTCAGGGTCATCTTTACTGGTTAAATCCATTTGCCTGAAAATGTCATGATTTCTCTGTTTTTAATAGCTGAATAGTATTCCACTGTGTAAACATCTCTGTGCCAAGCAGGAGAACTAAGTGAGGGTAGGCTCCTGGGAGGATATGAGAGGGATTTAAGACTCTTAGTAGCAGAGAACATAGGGACTGAAGAGGACATTCCCTAACTAGATTAGTCTTCTAGTGAAGAGGAAGGAACACCTATCATCCACAAAACCTTTGATGCAAAATTTACTCTGCCTACGAGATGTGCAAGGATAGATAGAGCAACTTGAGCAGAGATTGAGGGAATGCCCAACAGATGCCTGGCCCAACCAAAGACGCACCCTATTGGAGAGTGCCAGCCCCTGATACTATGAACAGTACTCAGCTAAACTTGCAGACAGGAGCCTGTCAGATTTGTCCTCTGAGGCACTCTATGAAGCAACACCTCAAAATAGATGCTGGGACTTACAGCCAGAAATTCATCGATGCATAGGGAGTGTTGGGGAATAGTGGGAGGAAAGAGAAAAGGACCCGCAAGTGACAAGAGCTCCATAAGAAAAACAATAGAACCAAGTAATCGGGGCCAGAGGAAGCATCAACCAAGGACCATGCGTGAAATGGACCTAGGCCCTCTACAAAGATATAGCAGATGGGCAGCTTAGGGTTCAAGTGGGTACTCTAGTAAGGGAAGCGGAGACTGCATCTGACAGGGATTCACTTGCCAGCTTTTAGATCACTTTCCTCTAGTGGAACTGCCTTGACAGACCACAGGGGAAGAGGACACATTCAGTCCTGATGCAATTTGATGAGCTGCGGTGGATGGGAAAGGGAGCTCCCCTTTTCTGAGGAAAAGGGGAGGGGGAGGGAGAGAGAGTGGAACTGGGAGAGAAAGAGGGAAGGGACTACAAGGATGTAAAGTGAATAAACTAAGTAAATGAGAAAAGAAGAAAAGAAAAGATAGATGAGAACCTTAGATCTTATTCTCCCTCCCAGGAACCAACACTGACTGATGCCTATTCTCGGTTTGGCTCTTGCTGGAATGCATATAAGTACTTGAAAATATGTTGATATTGTCTAACTTATCAAATCCACATATCACTTGTCAAGATACAGTAAAAATCTTTGTCTGATGTGTCAATTATGACAGTCACACTGTGAATAGATGTTGTGCTTCTCCTTCACAGTTCCTCCAAGTTTTCAGAAACTCTGGGAAATCGGAAACATGCTAGATACTGGCAGGACTGGTGAAGCCAAAGATGTGATTGTTAACAACCCCATTTCTCTGCACTGCGAGACAAACGCTGCTCCTCCCCCAACTCTGACATGGTACAAAGATGGCCGACCTCTGACCTCCAGTGACAGAGTACTGATTTTGCCAGGTAAACACTGCCACGTAAAGACACAAATCTCTGCCAAGTGTGTCTCTTTTCATTTATCTGGCCAGTTCATTGTAACTTAAATGGTATTTGGATTGCTGAAGGATGTATCTTCCGTATATAGAAGAGCTTACCTTGAGAATTTGACAAGAGAATGCTTTAACTCACTTTTCAGATCTGTTCAATGGTTGTTAACAATTTATGCGAGTTGTTGGACTCCTCTTATCTCTGTATCTGCATTGGTGATTTAGTCATTTTGGTTTCTATGCATCATTAATATAAATTCAAATATATGTTATTCAATTTATTGGGTATATTGATTGCATTTTTCATGAGTAATAATAAAGACATTTATTTTTAAATGTTATATTTATCACATGTTTTGTTGATGGAAAAAAATACTTAACTCTTTTGGAATAATATTTTCAAGGCTTCTGTGTAATTATCTAAAGTATTCAAATATCAGAGTTAGTTATACTAACTAACTTTTAGGGTCAATGCAATGCATAATACATGCAAAGTTAAGACAAATTAACTGAAATAATATTGTCAAAAAATTAAAAGGGAAGAAATAGACATGGTAGCTCTATGCAATATATATGACATTATTTGTGTCTAAATCTAGGGGAAAATGGCTATAAAAAGCTAATTGTGACATCTAAAAGAGACATGGGTTTTAATCTTTCATTAACTCCGTATTTTCTGTTTTTTTTTTTTTTTTTTTTTTTTTTTTTTTTTTTTTTTTTTTTTTTTGCTGTGCTGTAGTTTTATGAGAGATTATCTTATTTCTATGAAGTTTGGATCCATGAGTATATAGTTTTAAAAAGTCACCAGGCCTCCAACTTACTATAAAGACTTAGGAAAAAATAGTCTGTCCATATAATATTGGGAGATTTTATATATATATATATATAAAATTAGACCCTTGGTTCACTGTATAGCCATCAACCAGTTCTTCGGGTGAGTTTGTTGCCTTAGTTGAGTTGCTATTGCAGTGATGAAACATCATGACTAAAAGCAACTTGGGGAAGAAAGGATTTATTTAATTCACAGTTCCACATAACAGTTCATCTCCCAATATTATATGGATATATATATATATATATATATATATGTATATACACACACACACACACACACATATATATATATAACAAATAATTGGTGAACATAGATGCAGATTTCAATGGGACTGTTACAACTTTCCTCTAAATTTTATTATCAACATTAATGTTTACAAATACACAGCCTTTTTTTCTTGAGATTGCACACAAAATCTTGAATAAAACATAAAAGATAAAGTACACGTTACTCTTTGTGAACCCTGGACATATATCTTCAAATGAGTTTTTACAGGAAATATTGAAAAGGTCAATTAATGATCACTTCCCCCTAAGGGAGGTGCAACCTTACTAGGTTACAGAGGAAGACAATACAGCCAGTCCTGATGAGACCTGATAGGCTAGGATCAGATGGAAGAGGAGGAGGACCTCTCCTATCAGTAGACTGAGGGAGGGACATGGGAGGAGAAGAGAAAGGGGGGGGGGTGAGATTGGGAGGGGATAAGGAAGGGGATGAGGGAGGGGACTACAGCTGGGATACAAAGTGAATTGATTGTAATAATCAAAAAATAAAAAAGAAAAGGTCCATTAAAAAATTAAAAAACGGGGCTGGAAAGATGGCTCAGTGGTTAAGAGCACGGACTGTTCTTCCAGAGGATCCGGATTCAATTCCCAGCACCCACATGGCAACTCACAACTGACCATAACTCCAAAATCTGACATCCTCACACAGAAATACATGTGGACAAAACACCAATGCACATAAAATAAAAAGAAATTATTTAAAAAATTAAAACAAAGCATCACCACACAGTAACATTCCACACAGAACACAATTGAGGATATAGAGTAGCCTACTCCCCTCTAGGAAAATTGACAAGAGCTATTTATTTTTCAAAAAATGACTTGTTAATACAGTATTGGATGACTTTTTAGTAATGCAATATTTGCTGTTAAAATGGTTATTATATATGATAAAACTTAATGGTTAAAGGAAGTGGGAATACTGGCAAGAACAGATAGACAGACAGAAAGATAAATGCAAGTCATTAGACCTAGGAAACAGTATAGCTCTGCTTATGATCTGTGTTTTCCCTAACATTTGGAGAAGTGACATACTAGGATATATTTTCAGGAGGGCGAGTGTTGCAGATTCCCCGGGCCAAAGTAGAAGATGCCGGAAGGTACACATGCGTAGCTGTGAATGAGGCTGGAGAAGATTCCCTTCAATATGACGTCCGTGTACTCTGTAAGTTTGCTTTCTTTTGTTGGATACACATTTTTCACTCTGAAATATTTTTCAGTGACTAATGTTTGCAAGATGTTACCCTAAGCATTTTAGAAATGCTTCTTATAAGGACTATCATCTTATGTGCAAACTGAGACTGTGTAAATGCATCATCAGCCAGGACTTCTAAGATCTCAAATAACCAAGACGGAAAGTGGATGGAAGGAAGGAGGGAGGGAAGGAGGAAAGGAAAGGAAAAGAGAGAGAGAGGAGGAAGAGAACGATTATTGATACACAAACTTGAAAAGTCACATGTGTCTTCCACAGACACCAAGAGCTTGTAGCAGTCTACTGATAAAATGTAATTCTTATGCCTGCTCTTGAGCCAGAATCATTGTCATTTGGTATATGGACATAAAGTGGAAGAAGTATTATTTCCTTCAGATAAATGGAGTTATTGGAAGCAGGAGTAAATGTACTGGCAGCGGCTAAGCTAGTGAAGTGGCCATGACGGTGTATAGGAGCCAGTCTATTCTGGTTTGCTTTCTATTGCTGTGATAAAACTGTAACCAAAGACTTTCTGGGGAGGAAAGGGTTTATTTGGCTTACCTATCCCAACTCACAATCTACTGAAGGATGCTAAGGCAGGAGGCTCATAGCAGCAACCCGGAGGCAGAAACAGAAGCAGGAGCCTTCTTGCAAAAATGCTGATTATTGGATTGTTCCTTATGGCTTGCTCAGCTTGGTTTTTTACACACCCCAGGACCACCTGCCTAGGAACGACACCTCCCCCAGTAAGCTAAGTCTTTCCTCATCAATCAATAATCAAGAAAATACCCCACAGACTTACCTAAAGTACAATCTTATAAATTCTCAACTCCTCAGTTGAGAATTCCCCCTTCCCAACTACCTATACCTTTGTTTTATGCCATGGTGACAAAAACTAGCCAACACACAATAAAAAGATGTTGAAGTGGTATGAGAGATTAGACACTATCTCAGAGTGTAACTGGGACTTTTATGCCTGGTGATCGAGACAATGAACTCCTGGGAAAATGGGTGGCATTGAATGGAAGGAAGTCAGCTTTGTTTCTGGTGTGCTAAGTCTGACATGACTCCGGAATTCTCACGTAAAATGCTGCCCAGGCACTTAGAAATAAGAAACTGTTACAAAGGACAAAGACTAAACCCATACTGTGCACCCCACAGCTGTGGCCAGACAAATGGTATTTAAAGAGATTTCCATCAGAAAGAATGACATACTTTTTGACAAAAGAATATCATAGGGAAACATTTGGACATAAGAGAAGGAAAAATGAACAGAAAGAGTTAATCAAGAAGTGAGGGGAACCCAGTAAACTATTATACCTGGATTCTAGCTGTTAGAAAAAGTGTCAGCTGATGAGTTCTCGGTGCTGAAAATAAAAAGCCTTTGGCCTTGAAGTTTTAAGTCTGTTAGTAAACTTCCACAGAACAACCTAGGTGGTGTGGTTCACTTTAAAACCACAAAACAAGGATAATTTTTGAGGATGCATTAGACATAATGAAATAAAATAGAGACAAGAGTTAGAATAGGGCTGGCTGGCCAGAACAAATTTAAGACTTGTTTTAAGGCAAATTTGAACTTACCCATAGACTAAGGGCAGAAACGGAATACAAAGAGACTCATTAAAGTGTTAAGGATGTGTGTAGAAAGCAGGGATGAAGGGCTTGATAGTGTAAGGGCCACAGGCACGCATCAAAACGATGGAGCAAGTGACTAGGAGGGTAATAAATAAGCCTTGGGGAGGAAGAAAAGCTCTTGGGGTGGAAAGAAAGGGGAGATGACAAAACGTGTGTCAAAAATATTTCACAATCCTGCTTAGTAGGAGTGTGAAACAAGCAGGGCCGGCCTGGAAATGCCAGCCGGTGGCAAACAGAAAAAGTCAGCAGTGGCTGCTGTGGGCATCTGACGAATATAATAGGAACCAATTGTCTCAGCCATTGCTTTTGATAATCACTGTCAGAACCCTGGAAGCAGGGGTGTAAAACAAGGGGTGCGTGCAGCCTGTCTGGAGGGTGAAGCAGATGTCATAGGTACACATTGTGGGTGCCAGGGAGCAGCAGGGCTCCAAGTACCAGCCCATAATGCATCACTGAAGGGACCCACTGTGAGGTGTGTGCTGGGTGTGAACAAAGTAACCTGAAGAGAGGCTGACAGGCTGATTGTAAAGAGAGAAGGTGGAAGGACTAGAGTTGTCTATGCAAAGAGCAGTCTGTAAAAGTCCAAAAGAGAGGTAGATATTAATTCAAATTGTATTTATGTGACAGCTATCTGTTGATTGCTCAGGCTGTGGCAGGTGCAGTGCTGGACACTCAGGATGCAGAGTAAAAGACAGTGGCTGTCAGTCAAATGGTGTAACTTTAAAGTGAATGTACACAAAATAGCATTGAAGTTCCCCCATATACTTTGTAGTACTAATTATTTTCTTTAGAGAATTTCACCTTAATTGTTGGAGAACCGAATACCAAAGGCTGAGTCTGCATTAAACATGCACTGGTTTTTGAAAATCCTGGCGTGTTTTAACATAGTGCAACAAAAATTAATCATGCTTAAGAACAATCACTTACAAAAAAAGAAATAAATATCTGCTTTTACAAATGCTGCAACACAATCTCTTAATTTCCTGAACCTTTCCATATTATATTCTACAGGAAAAGTGTGGCTTCTCATAAGTTAAATGAATATAAATTGTGGGGAGCTGTTTTAAGTGTGTACAGGGAATATAGCATAGAACTCCTCAGATTTTAATGTACTTGAGGAACAACTAGCCATCCATTCCTTGTTTCTCCTCAGCGATGGCTGTGGAGGAGGTGTGGGTGGGGTTCATGTTCATGGATATGATGTCTAACCAACCTCCCAGGGGATGCTGACGCCTGTTCAACTAATGCTGAGGCTAGGGGCCTGGAAAAGCCCAGATTATTCCCTTACAAAGACTAACCCTGAACATCAGGGATACATTGTAAAAGCCGTAATTTATCTGGTTTTTCCTGATGACAAAGTGGTGTAGCATGCCTTATGACAACCATTGTTGCCCATCAGAACCTCTCTGTCATACCCCTTTCTTAGTGCCACCAGTTATCAAGGGAGCAAACGGTGATCTCCCAGAAGAGGTCACCGTGCTAGTGAACAAGAGTGCACAGATGGAATGTTCATCCAGCGGTAGCCCAACACCCAAGAATTCCTGGCAGAAAGATGGACAGTCCTTATTAGAAGATGAGCATCATAAGCTCCTATCTGATGGCAGGATTCTTCAGGTAAAAGGAAAAAATCTAGTTTTAAAACAGTGTTTTGGACAGTGTCATAATTGTCTTCTAGACTGGTAAAAATATTCATTTGTAAACATTTATTTAAACCATTAACCATCAAGAGTATACAAAGTTATTCTCCACTTTGTTCCCACAATTAGAAATGACCACATGACATTTTTGTGTAAATTCTTCCAGGATATCTGTACATACACACCTGTCTACATTTAACAACATGATCTTGTATTAAAAAAAACTAATATTGCAATGTTTCCATTAAATGTATACGATGATAACATTCTAAGCGGTAAAGGCTTCCTATAGATTAAATCCATCCTGTGTTGGCGCAGGCAGTAGGAAGTCATAATGTGAGCCATGTAATATATTGTACTGCTGTTGGTCAATTGATGTGTCCTAAAAAACACAACAAAACAAAACAAAAAACAAACAAACAAAAAACGTTGGGGTGTGTACACATATACCAGTTCTTTTGTCAGGAAAAGTGTAATTAAATTACTAGTGAACTGATAAAAATATTTCCTTGGCTCATAAATCTAAGCATAAATATGAGTCTGGCACAGGACATATGTCACAGAGTCCATTTTTAAAAATTCAAACTCACTGCTTATAAATAAACTTGAATTTTCAAGGCATTCTCACTGCTTATAAATAAACTTGAATTTTCAAAGCATTCTCTATACTTGAATATATCTACCTGATGACCTTATGGCCTCTATCAAAAATGCCTAAGTATTTTTATATCTGAGGCTGTAGATGCATAGATGGATAGAAGTTTCCTAGTAACAAATACTCTGCTCCATATCACCTAAGTGCTGCTACAGAAAACAAACCCCTCTAGAACCTAATGACTTAGAACAATGCAAATTTATTTAGCTTGAAAGTCCACTGGTTCTATAGGTGGTGTTTCAGATCTCAGCTGGACTTATTCAAGTGCCTGCAGGGCTGTGGACTGAATGCCTGCTGGGATGATCTCTCTGGAGGCTTCCGATGTGACAAAACCATGTGAGCTGGTTTTGTCCTTCCCAATCACATGCCCCAGCAGCAAGCAAGTCTTGCTTCCTCAGACGGTAGCAGCAGAACTTCAAATAAAGTGAGTGAGACGGTGTAGACACTTGCGAAGAACTCAAGAGATCTGCACCGTTGCTGCATAAATTCTACTGGCCACACGGGCACAAATCAACCTCTTAGGAGGAACTTCAAAGTCACTTAGCACACTCACAGACAGGGAAGTGAAAAAATATTTGGGATAATTTGTAGTCGAAATAAAAACGTGTGTAAAAAAAAATCACCTTTTCTGATTGTAAGTTTTGTAAATAAATGTATGTGCACTCGACCTACCTGGTTGAAGGTGGCCCTGGGCCTAGCATGTAAAGCAGCTCATGTCCTTTTGCTTATCTGACAATGCATCTTGTTTGTTCTAAAAGGTAAACTATTAGGCTTTCCTGTATTAATCATTTCAGTTGCCGTTTTTCTATTTTCGTTTAGATTCTAAATGCTCAAATAACAGATATTGGGAGGTATGTGTGTGTTGCGGAGAACACAGCTGGGAATGCCAAAAAGTACTTCAACCTCAATGTTCATGGTAAGAAATTGGGGCCCTGGACATCTCTTAGGCTCTGCTTCACAAATCAGAGAAACCAGATTTCAGATAATAGAGTTTATGTTCTGTTTTTGACTTGATCAGTATGTGATGCCTCTACAAAACTTTTTTTTCCCCTTTACCTCTACAAAACTCAGCAGGAATTCAAGAGTATAAATCTTTCAGGCAGCCCGTTTTTATAGTATTTTTAATCCCTCAGGACAAAAGTTCTCAACTTATGGGTTGCAATCCCTTTGGAGTCACATATCATATCCTGCAGTCAGATATTTACATTATGATTCATAACAGTAACAAAATTATAGTTATAAGTTGGCAATGACATAATTTCCTACCTGGGGATCACCACAACATGAGGAACTGTATGAAAGGGTCGCAGGATTAGGGAGATTGAGAACCACTACCTCAGGAGAAAGCGTATATGAAAAACTACATGTTTGTGTGAAGGTAAAGCCAATGGCATAGCTCCTGCCCATAGAAGTGTCTACTTCTGCCCCAGTCTTCCAGTGCAGCGTTACATTGACTACATTCCAGTAGGCAAGGTCCTCTCAACTAAGAAAGGACCACCTTGTAGAGCTAAATAATTCCCTTTGAAAAGCAAGCGTACCTGAGTTGTGTTGCATTTAAGACTTCACACATAATAGACATTCCATAATTATTGCTTCTACCAGGAAGAGGGAGGGAATTGGATGTCTATCATGAAAAGTCATTTTTATGAGATATAGGTCTTCCAGAGTATGAAATTAGAGTGATGAAAATTATCTAAGAGCCACTTCTCATGAAATTCTAGTTCCTTTAGGCATATCTGAAAATGATCATTTTTTAAATCATCTCAAAAAGCTTTCATTTGGGGGCTGGAGGGCTGCCTGGTGGTAAAGAGCGTCGGCTGCTTTACAGAGGACCTGAGCTCAGCTCGCAGCACCTACCGTGGGCGCCTCACAACTGCCTGTGATTCCAGCGCCAGCTGAATCCGATGCCTCTGGCCTTCATGGGCACCCGCACGCGTGTGCCCATACCTCTCTACATATGGATATACATAATTAAAAATAAAAAAATAAATTGTTTTCAAAAGCTTCATTTGGCACCATAACATGTTCCTTTTGGATGTGATGTGTAGGGCATATTAAACATACCTCTATATGCTATTTGTGTAATAAGTCTTTGAAGCACTCCTACCTTTATATTCCTCAGCCTTAAAATGCACACTGTAGAAGCTTAATAAATTCTTTTAGGCATTTTAGTGAGCAGTTCTCAACTGGGAAAGTTGTTTACTGTTTTTGCAGTGCTAGGGACCAAACCTAGAGCCTTGAGCATACTAGTCGAGTGCTCTACCTCTGAGCTCGATTCCCAGTCTATATCCTACATAAACAGGAACAAGCATGAGTTCTCAGGAAGAATGAATGGAACAAATATGATTGTTTTAAAAGTACATGTTCTTATCTATAGCATAACATATATTAAAAAGTAAACATGTTAAGGAGCTGGGGAGATGGCTCAGTTAGTAAAGTCCTTTCTCCACATGAGTTTAAGCTCTGACTTGCACATAAAGCTGTAGTTGCAGCAGCGCCTATCTGTAGTTCCAGCCTAGGAGAGAGGAGAAAGGAAACTTCCTGGGGCTAATTGGCTATTGGTCTTGCTGAAATGGTAAGTCCCAGGTTACTGAGAGGTCACTGAAAGGCCCTGGTTGAAAGGAGGAGGCAGAGGAAACAGCATTGTAGTCTCTACTTTCAGCCCATGTTTCGTCATTACCTTGCTGTGTAAAATTTTCAATCTCTAAATAGTAAGTGGCAACTGACTAACTGATGGGTACCAGGCACTAGGTCGGGTAGTTTTGTCCATTATCTCTAGTAATCACTTCAATGATGAACAGCCATTTGTTGGCCTTTGGTTCCTCTCTTTTAGATGAAGATTAAGGACCACTACGCTTGGGAAACATTTTCCAAGTTACACCATTCACAAATGCATAGTCGAAAAAATAAAACGCACAGGCAGCGTTCTGCACAGGCAGCTTGACTCGAGACACTGAATAATTGGTTGCTGCCTACTTCGGGGTATTCTTTCATGTGTGATATATGCTGAATTTCACGTCTGTACTGTGTCTACATCAAGGTTGCTCGCTACCCATGGAGGAAACCTTGGGGTGGGAATATTGGTGGAGTTATAAATTCATATTCCCACTATGAGCCAGGCCTTCTTCCCTGTGGAGACCAGTACTTGTCTTCCTACCCCACAGCCACTCTCTCACACCTTCACTTCTCCCTCAAATGTCAAGTGAGTCTTCTGTGGTCTTCTCTGTGTGGCTTCAACCACAGAAATTACTGTTCTTACAGTTCTCACAGCTAGGAAGTTCAAGAAGAAGGTTCTAGAAGTATTTGTTTTCTGAAGAGGCAGTTTCCTCGCTTGTAGATTGCAGTTTTGTCCTCATGTGCACACCCTCTGTCTTTCTTGTCAACATCCTTGTAGAGAGAGTTTGTTTGCAAGCCTTCTTGTGTCTCTTCATTTTTATTTATCATCCTATTTAATTAAAGTATGTTTACATCATTCCTGCCTTTCTTGTTCCTCCTATAATCTCTGATTTCACCCACTCCCACCCAAATTCATGCCTACCTCCTCTTTAACCATTTTATTACATATTCACATCCATACAAATGAATAAATATATAAAAACAGCCTTCAAGGTCCATTTGGTGTTTCCTCCATATATATGTGTTCCTAAGTCTAACCACTTGGTAGTAGATAACCTATCTTGGATTCATCCCTGGGAAAAACAAATTTTTCCTCTTTCAGCACTTCTTAATTGCTTGCAGATCTTCATCTAAGGGTGGGGATCAATGAGATATCCTCAGTCTACAATCTATATGAGCATGTCAACTATTGTTAAAATTATTCACGAGTTGTTAGGTAGCTATGTTGTTGATGGTTCTTGACTGTAGCTTTACTGTCATAGTGTAAGGCCCAATCTCACACTAGTCCTCACCTTCTAGATCTTATAATCTTTCTTCCTTCTGTTTTCTTGGGTTTTTTTTTTGACAGAAGAAATGGATTTATTTTAAGATGAAATAAGATACAAGTAAAATCCCAGAAACATAAAAAAATCCCTCCTATACATTATGTATAACATAAAACAATGAAAAGTTTCAACCTAATCAATGGCATGCATGATTCAATCGTTCCTTAGACATGATGGTTGACAGTCATTTTCTTTTTTTTTAATTTTATTTTATTAATTACACTTTATTCACTTTGTTTCCCCCCATAAGCCCCTCCCTTCTCCCCTCCTGATCCCACTCTCCTTCCCCCTTCTTCAAGCATGCCCCTCCCCAAGTCCACTGATAGGGGAGGTCCTCCTCTACTTCCTTCTGATCTTACTCTATCCTATCACATCAGGAGTGGCTGCATTGTCATCTTCTGTGGCCTGGTAAGGCTGTTCCCCCTCAGGGGTAGGTGATCAAAGAGCAGGACAATCAAATTATGTAAGAGGTAGTCCCTCTTCCCATTACTGTGTAACCCACTTGGACACTAAACTGCCATGGGCTACATCTGTGCAGGGGTTCTAGGTTATCTCCATGCATGGTTCTTGGTTGGAGTATGAGTCTCTGGGAAGACCCCTCTGTTCAAATTTTCTGGTTCTGTTGCTCTCCTTGTGGGGTTCCTGTCCTCTCCAGAGCTTACTATTTCCCACTTCTTACATAAGATTCCATGCCCAACAGTTGGCCATAAGTCTCAGCATCTGCTTTGATAGTCTGCAGAGGCCCTCTGTGGCAGGTTCCTAGGTTGTTTCCTGTTTTCTTCTTCTTCTGATGTCCATCCTCTTTGCCTTTAGGGATGGGGATTGAGTGTTTTAGTCAGGGTCCTCTCTCTTAATTAGTTTCTTTAGATATACAGATTTTAGTAGGTTTATCCTATGTTATATGTCTATATGAGTGAGTATATACCGTGTGTGTCCTTCTGCTTCTGGGACAGCTCACTCAGGATGATCCTTTCTAGGTCCCACCATTTACCTGCAAATTTCATGATTGCCTTATTTTCATTGCTGAGTAATACTCCATTGTGTAGATGTACCACAATTTCTGCATCCACTCTTCAGCTGATGGGCATCTGGGCTGTTTCCACCTTCTAGCTATTATGAATAAGGCTGCTACAAACATGGTTGAGCAAATGTCCTTTTTGTGTACTTGAGCCTCTTTTAGATATATGCCTAGGATTGGTATGGCTGGATCTTGAGGAAGCGCTATTCCTAGTTGTCTGAGAAAGCACCAGATTGATTTCAAGAGTGGTTGTACAAGTTTACATTCCCACTAGCAGTGGAGGAGGGTTCCCCTTTCTCCACAACCTCTCCAGCATGTGTTGTCGCTTGAGTTTTTTATCTTGGCCATTCTGATGGATGTAAGGTGAAATCTTAAGGTCGTTTTGATTTGCATTTCCCTAATGGCTAATGAAGTTGAGCATTTCTTTAAGTGTTTCTCTGCCATTCGATATTCCTCTATCGAGAATTCTCTGTTTAGCTCTGTTCCCCATTTTTTAATTGGATTACTTGGTTTGCTGCTCTCCAGCTTCTTTAGTTCTTTATATATATACTTGATATTAGCTCTCTGTCAGATAAAGGGTTGGTGAAGATTCTTTCCCAATCTTGAGGTAGTAGTTTTATTTTGCTGATGGTGTCCTTTACTTTACAGAAGCTTTTCAGTTTCATGAGGTCCCATTTATTGATTGTTGATCTTAGAGCCTGTGCTGTTGGTGGTTCTGTTCAGGAAGTTGTCTCCTGTACCAATGAGTTCTAGGAATTTCCCCACTTTTCTTCTAACCGATTTAATGTGTTTGGTTTTATGTTGAGGTCTTTGATCCACTTGGACTTCAGTTTTATGCAGAGTGATAAGTATGGATCTATTTGCATTTTTCTACATGGACACATCTAGTTAGACCAGCACCATTTGTTGAAGATGCTGTCATTTTTCCATTGTATGGTTTTGGCATCTTTGTCAAAG